TCAGTAAACTAAGTTGTCCGTATGCTGCCTGCAGTGCAGAGCTCCAGCAAGCCGGATCCTTGCTCCGAGGTGAAGGACGCATCAGCAGGACTTTTGCAAACACCGGCCAGCGCTGCTCCTAATTAAGGGCCTGAGCTGGTGGCGGTGCTAACGTGGCCCCCCTGCTCTCAGCGGGAGCGAGGGCTGCGGGAGCTGACGCGAGGCCTCTGTTTGGCAGAGATGCACAGTTTGCCAGGTGTGCTGCTGCAGGCAACACGGCACCTGCCCCGACCTGCCGACTGCCATCATCTGGACACAGGGCCAAGGACGTTTCGGCCGTCCCTGTATTGCCAACCTCTTCACACCTCCGATTCAGGGAGTTTTCCTAGCTTGCTAGAGGTCTGGGCCCATGACGCCCTTCTTGCCCGAGCGCCGAAGGTGGGCATCTTCTTCCTGGGGTGTCACTGCTACAGGGTTACACTTAGGTAAGGCACCATCAGGAAATCAGCCTGAAGCACAGCTCCCGAAATCAGGCAGGGTTTACAGAGCTCCCAGAGAGATGTGCAGGCTCCCTTTGAGGCATGCAGCTCAGTCCTGCAAGCAGGAGGGTTTCCTTGAGTGCTGTCCATGTTGTAGATGCAACGTTGTTGGTGTTCATGTTGTTGTTATTAGACTGCAAAGCACTGGGAGGCTGAGGGGGGACTAATTCTGCCCCTAAACTAAACGGGGTGTCAGCGCTGCTAATCTCCATGTGTGCATTAGACTCAGGTTGTTCTGACCGGCAGGTATCAGCACTACTGTCACCTCCATGAAGGGGAGCTCCTCCAGCTTCTCCTGGAGCTTGTGGGCTGCTCATTGACTCCATACAGAGAAGCCTGAACTCCAGCTCTCCAAACTGGGATTTTCCATCTGAGAAAAGCGACCAGCTGAATGAATCTATAGCCTGCATGCTCCTTCCATACGGCACCCAGCCAACATCCTGTTGGCTGGTGCCAAGGCTGGAAATCAGCACATCGAGAATGACTGTCCCGTCCAGCACCGACGCAAGAGATAGGCCATAGGGACCTAGACACGTGCTGGTCACAGGCCGGTGTCCTTCAGTAGTGTCTGAAGGCGGTTCAGTGGGATGGCATTCACGCCACCTTCACGTGCTCGAGTGGGCCTGCAGGTATGGGCTGCGTGGGGCTGCTGCAGATAGATGGTCATCAACTAGCGGTACCTAGTCCAAAGGCAGCACCTGGGGAGATTTTGAAGGTTGCGCGGTTGGGTTGGGAGCTCAAGTCCACGGTCCACTGGCACCAAGACACGTTGCCACCAGCCATCTGACAGCCAGTTCTTGCTGCTCCTGGGCAGCGCCCTGGCAGGAAGCGCCCTTAAATGGAGCATGTTGATGATCTTCACTGCTTTTCTTGGGAAAGAAAAACATCACTTAGCACGCTACCGTTTAAGGATAGCTGACCCTCAGAGTCAAGCTCTGCCCTCTCCTTCCACCGGCTCTTTGCCCAGGTCCCCAGGAAGAGCTATAAATATCCAGCACTCCCAGAGCTGTTCCCTGTTGCTGAATTAGCTGACATCTGCTGCTGGTGACAGCTCGTTGTCACATACGCCGGGTCTCCTGCCCTTCGCGGGCAAAGCCACCGCGCAGTGTGGGGACAGCAGCCCTGCGAGCGTCCCACCTCGGCTCCTCGCGGCCGCAAAGCCGCAGCT